CCCCCCCCCCCCCCTCATGCTTGCTTTATTTTGAATCACTAGTACAAATTTTATGTTAGATTCATTTTTCGTTCTAGTGAAATTCGAGTTACCGTTTTCCCGCGTCTATCAAGCCATGCAAAGCTCGTATTTATGTCTTTGCCTTTTTATTCCGATCTATTTCTTCTCATTCATATCGTTTCCGACGTTATTTTTTATTACTAGTTATTTTCCCTTTCAAAATGTGCCTATTATGGAAACCACACAGGTAAAATTGAAATAAAATTGTTCCTTTGAGACAAGTGACTGTTTATTTCTGTTTGTTGCCTACAATCGTGTAATCTTTCAAATTGCCATTTGGCGTTTGTTTCGCATATTTCAGGACCCTAATTCTTTTTAATTTCGTTCTTCGCAAATCGCATTAGAAAAGAAAGCAGATTAAGGGTTTAGAGCCGTATTTGAAGCAAATCGAAAAAGTAATAGATTGCTTTCCATCAAGCCTACTTCTTTGTTTTGAGAAGTGACATGTTCCCTTCGGGGAACTGACGAGTTAGTATAATAGCACTAATCTGTTTAGCTGCATCACAATAAATTATTAGCTAGTGAACTAAAGTGAAAAAGAAAACAACCTTGGCACATTTCTAGTGATTGATGAGATTATTTGTTCACTTGGCTTTTTGAATTATGTTTGTAACTCCTTCTTGACCTTGATCGTGCGCACTTTAGTGATAGTTTGCGTCAGAATCACATTTCACTGACCAATTAGCTTTACGACAAAAGTTATTCGTTTCAACCATGGTTTAGTGGCCTGAATGGTAACTGTAGATCTTTACTTTCTTGGTCACGGTGTTGGTGCTTCTCCGTTTAAAGTAACTGAAATTTCAAAACCTCTCAGGTTATACGTCAGTAAAGGAGTTCCACGCAGTTGGCTTTAAGACCAGAACACTTAATTTTTGTTAATTGACCATATCACAGTTATTCTTGCAAATACCTATAGATCTCTTGTCTGGGCTAAATGTGCGTCGTAAAGCGATTGAGACGTGACAATTATTTTCGATTAAGGTCGCAGACAAATAGGCGCGAGAAAGTACTTTCCAAGTCATTAATTCTTAGCGAAATTTAAAAGCTTTAAGAGTGTGTCAGATCTACTGAAAGACCCAGTTGTACTTTGGAATACAACAAAGAGGTATTAATTGGTAAACTCATCCATCATACTCGAAAAGGGGATTATTAAAAAAAAGTGCAAACTTTTAATGAATGGCAAAGTTTGCTTAAGTAACGTTTATCGAGAGGTTGGCCACTTCGCCGCTGTGCTTAGAGTGAAAGGACTCGTCAGCTACGAAGTAAACACTAGGACGATCGAAGACGAAATAGTCCGGCTCAACCATGGCCATGGGAACTTGTAGTAGAGAATACAAAAGAGCTGTCATGCGAAATACAGCAGCAGGAGGTAACTTGCAGAATAGTTTAGACAGCCTCGAAGATCAGAAGAAGCGTCTCGTGCGCTCTTTTGAGGAGAAGAAGCTGAATTTTATAGAAAAAAAAGGAACACTTCCAAAACTTTTCTCTTCGCTCGGGCAGACTGGAGGAATGGAGCGCAGCAAACGTAGTCAACTCACGAAACAGCTTTCAGATAGTTCTGCGTTAAATGAGTCTCGTGAAAGGAGATTGAAGGAAACATTCTCATCTACGAACGACATGGTGAATTTTAACAAGCAAAACCATCAAATATCAAATACTGCAGCAGAGCAAGACGACACTCTGTTGCCGCCTGCCATAGGATCCAGTGCACGACTACAATACTCTGCGGGGCGAAGGAGACACAGCGATAACCTCTCGAGCGAGAAGCCGAAAACACCATTAGCACCAACCCTCTCGTTACCATCAGAATCAACAGAATGGAAAGAGGAGCAGGAGGCATATGGCTCCGACCCAGAGCTGGGTACATTCAAGACCAGATTAAGAGTTCCAGCTCCTTACACAAGTCTGGGGACGCAGTTGCCACTTTCACCACTTCTACAAAGGAAGGCCTCACGCCCCTCCAAGCCTCAGTTAAGTCCTTTAGACGTGGCAGCAGAAAGGCAATGTGTATCGCTGCCTGCCTCTCCCCGTTTTCAGCGCCGACGTGCAGAGAGCTGGGATCAGGCAAAAAGCCAAGAGTTGAGGTTAAATGACCTTGCGGAGTTCTCGAGCGAAGGACCGAAACTTCGCTCGATGAGCTTGGCTTGTGAGAAAATTGAAAGCGGCAAACAGGTAACTCTTCTCATTATATGAATTCTGTTTGAGATGACTAAAGGGGTGCAGGGGGTATGGTTTTAGAAATACATCTGATCTAATTGCGAAGTACATTTTTTTTACTTGGTCACGGCTGAGTTAGTTGAGAATACGAATGGCCTGTAAATGAGCCTGTACGACATGATAACTAACCAGCCTTATCCGCGCGAACTCGAATCTGGTCGAGGCGAGAATATTTGTAATGCTAGCTCGCGAAATCTTTTCTCATACACGGATGGGACACTAAAAAACCCTGACTCTGTAAAGGAGATTCGCGACCCTTCGATTTTGGACAGACCATTTTCTACTCTTCTAACTGGGGCTAACATCCTAGACTGTATACCACGGTCCGGATACCGAAACATGAAAATCTAAAGGTCACGGAATATATTTTGGTTTCATATCTCTCTTAGTACTGCGTTGTTTCATTAAAAGCCGGTTACTAGCGATCTACCACCATTTAAGACCTCTTATCGCCGTCTGCTTCTCCTGCGAGCAGGCTGATCAGTTTGGGTTTCGCCTTTGGCCCCTTTTCAAGGAACAGCTGATTGTTACATCATCGACAGCCGCTTATGGGAAAAAAGTTATTAATACCTATAAAACCATATCATGCATAGAAATGTTCAAATGTCATTAGAGATTTACAAAGTTCAAACAAGAAGCTTATCTTTTTCGACATTTAAAAAATGAAAAGCTCAAAATGAGTACGAAAAAAAAACACTACAATAGGTTAAAAACATATTTTTTAATAATTCAACTCTCAAATTTGCAACAACAATAGCACTAATATTAGTATGGTTCTCATGGGATTTATAACGCTTAGAGCTGATTACTTTGATCTATTTTTTACACATTTAAAACAAGACTAAACTAAGAAACTGATAGCCTTGAATCAATCTGCTGCATTTCTGACTTGTGCCCTCTCTCTTTGACTTACGCAAAAGTTTAATTAAAAAGCGCGAGAATTGCGGCTGAGAAATCAAATCTTGTTTTGCACGAGTGTAAGTGACGCAATTGTCACTCTAGGAAACGCTAATGAGTTTACTTCTTTTTGTTTGACACTGGAATAAGATAAGGGAAGTACCGACCACTCATTCGCACATTCCTCGTTTTAATAGTTGTTTGGGCGAGGCTTTATCATTAAATGTTTGGTTTTAACAAATTGACGATAAGTAGATCAAGCCGTAAAACGATTGGTAAAATGACTACTGTCTTCCGGCTGTTGTGAATTCCCTCACGGGACGCATAAAGGGATTTTATTTCTTTTGTTTTTTGCAACAAAGAGCTTGAGATGTGAGCGTTGAGTCATTCTCGAAAAGAAGCTTTAAGCTAACTGCAAACTGCTATCTTAACTACTAAGTTGTGTTTCAATCATCTTGAAAGTGGCAAAAAGTTCCTTAGTTTTGTATGGTCTCAATGGCGCATAGCATATCCTTCAAAGACTTGATCAAGAACGATGCCATGTCTAGCGATAAGATTAAAAAGGCTATTGACATTAATTCTATCTACGACGAAGACTTGAGGAAAGATCTTTCAACTCTACAGAAAGAAAGAAAGTCTTTAATGCAATCGTTGACCAAAAAGAAGCTAGATTTCATTCGTAAATGCAAACTACCATCAATTCACCAAACACACTCGCAGACGGAGTCTGACAACGCAGCAATCCAGAAAAAAGTTGTCGAGTTCTGTTTTGGTTCCTCTAGTAATTCTACACCTCAGCGCAACACTGCTTCACCGGCGCCTTCAGAAGCGCGCCCTTGGAGTCAACCTTCGAGTAAAGAAATGGGTAAATTATATTACCGCCAAAGAAGTTTCACCTCTGAAAAAGATTTCATGTTAGAAGAAGATGACACATTAGAACAGGGGGACATCAATCGTTTTCCAAGTGCTGATCAAGGAGTAACAAACGCCATAAAGGCAAGGAATGCCTCTGGTTCAAAAAGTTTTAAGATTCCCTCGCCAGGAATAGGCCTACCAGCAACACGTTCTCCAACACTATCTCGGTTAAGTAATTTAAATGACTTGGCCCAAAACCGATCTCTACCGAATTCGCCCATTGTCCTAAGACGACGCGCTTTCACGTTGGACTCGAACTTTGGTAGTCAGAGTACTGATTTGAAAGTTGCCTTGGGGCGATCACAATCAACTCCAGCAACTAAACAAGGTATGCGACATCGAACGGAGTCATCGCCAATTGACCTCGAGGTAAGTTTGCTCTATGGGAATCTGGATTTGTCGCTTGGAGTGATTTTGTGATAAGCATTGCATGATCATGATGTACAAACTCGAGAAAATAATTTTTGTCCGATCTTGGTGTGAGTAGGTTGATCAATATCAACTGCACGAATAGAGAGACTACGATTTCCTTTCTACAAGCAGGATTCAGCATGACAACACCATTTCTTTTAAAATTTATAGCCACATGTCATAATTTATCAAACATATGTATAACGCCAGAGGAAATTCGTAAGCTACCTATTGAAACCTCCTGGATAGAAAAGGTTTCGCCTTGAATATATTGTTGTATACAAATGGGCAATTTATGTCCAAACTGACCATTTCTGTAAGATGAACATTCTTGAATACTGAAAGAGTGTCCAGAGCCTAATTCCAGAAGGGCACAAACTTCGCACTTTCTTTTTATTGACTCTTAGGCCACAAAATGGGTGGAAGGGTTTTTTTTTTGATAATTATGATAAATGATGAATTAAATATCATAATCAGTTGATGTTCTGTTCCAACATTGTAGTGCTCCTAGACTTTATCACGTAAAGTTAAAAAATTTGATTATGTAGTTGACAATTTTGTTCAGATCCTGCGCTTGAATTAGCCCTTCATTCTTGAGAATCTTTGGTGGATAATTTTATTTCTGTTGTCACTTAACAAGAGGATTTAAACAAAGAGGCTCTTTCCATACATTCAACTGAGCCACAGAAAAGCAATTTACAATACGGGACAAACACCACTTACAATCATTTACATAATAAAGCTTGTACACAGAGAGTACAAAATACAAATAAATTTTGTTTATGTCTGACACTACTTTAAGACTTAAACTCAAGAAATTACCCCCTGCAGTGATGCGTCTTTCAGTGTCAACGCTAACGCAAAAATTGATAAAATTTGTGAACGCCCATAGACACAAAATACTGTCAACAATTATTTCACAACTGACTCTGTTTAATAATTTCATAATTCCAAGTTCAATGAGAGGTACAGTAGGTCACATTACAACTGCACCACTAAAATTGTTCTGTTCAGAATGGGAAACACCAGCGCGCAGACTCAGGGTCAAGCGGTCCTGGCTCGAGACCCATGGGTCTCCAGTTATAATATTATGCTTTTGGGGAAGACACTGTACCGCACAATGTCTGTCTTCATCTAGGGATGTGAATAGGGACCAAACCTTTAGATAAACCGGGGAGGGGTGGTGGTGGTGGGGAGGGGGGGGGGGGAATTGGTTTTAAACTAGTATTCCATTTATGTGAAGCGTTAGTCAATTCACGACCCTCCAATTAATTCTACATTCATGTGTCTAACAACCAAATCAATCCTAGGACCTGGTGAGGATAGATTAAGTTTAGTGAAAGTAGGTTAAGTAGCAAGCATGGCTACTTGACCTGTGTGTAGAGAAATTGTATCTCTTATGGTTCAAGTTATTTCTGGATTTAAAAACTTCAGAAGAGTTTGATTTTTTTTCCTTGTCTAGTATTTAAAAAGGAAAATTGAAAAAAAGGAATTTGAGAAAAAAAAATGAACCACAGCACATCCACTCTCCTCCTGTGCTTTCTGCACTGCTTGTTAACTTTTATATTTCATGCTCCAGTTGAAATTTCATATCAAAACCAGGTTCCTTGTTCTGATTGTTCTTTGCTGTCCACGTTTCAGGATGTAGGGAAGCTGCCACCGCGTGTACCAGCGTCACCACAAATTTCCCCACGAAGACAGCGCGGTTTTCAACCTCTCGGGGCTGACCAATTACAGTCTTCTCCTCAAGAGGGTTCATTTATTTTACCAAAACTGGAAGCACGAGGTTCATTATCTAGTATGTTGGACGAAAATGGGAAAGAGAGAGTCCAGAGGCGAGTGTTCAGTCTAGTGGCAGATAATGCTACAAGAGAAACATCCCCGCGGAGAGAAGCACTCGAACTACAAAATTTGTCTCCCAGGACAGAAAGAAAGCTCAGGAACTTCTTAAATTCCGAGAACGGATGGCTAACCGGGTTTTCCTCTAAGCATGAGGGGCTTGAAGATATAGTGGAAGATGGCAAAGGCCTACAAAGACCAGAAGCAGAAGACGAGGAGTGTACTTGGAACA